GGCACAGTGGCTCATACCTATAACCCCACCTGTAATCCCAGGGTGAGCAGATCACTTGAGTCCAGAAATTCGAGACCAGCGTGGGCAACGTGGTGAAATGTTGTCTCTACAAAAAATACAAAAATTAGCCGAGGTTGGTGGTGCATGCCTGTGGTCCCAGCTACTTGGGAGGCTGAGGCAGGAGGATTGCTTGAACCCAGCAGGTGGAGGTTACAGTGAGCTGAGATTGCACCATTGTACTCCAACCTAGGCAACAAAGTGAGACCTCGACTGAAAAAAAAGTTAATAAAACAGTTCTGAACATTTGAGGAAAACAATAACATTCTTCATGATTTAATTTATACTTTCATCATAATGTCCAGTGTGTATAAACTGGAGGCTGCTCTAGGTCTGTGTTTCATGCTTACTTAGTAATAATTACCTGGGGAAGCTATTAAAACTTCTCATTTTGGCCGGGCGCGGTGGCTCACGCCTGTAATTCTAGCACTTTGGGAGGCCGAGGTGGGCGGATCACCTGAGGTCAGGAGTTTGAGACCAGCCTGGCCAAGGTGGCGAAACACCGTCTCTACTAAAAATACGAAAATTAGCCAGACGTGTTGGCACACACCTGTGATCCCAGCTACTCGAGAGGCTGAGGCAGGAGAATCACTTGAACCTGGCAGGCGGAGGTTGCAGTGAGCTGAGATTGTACCACTGCACTCCAGCCTGGGCGACAGAGCAAGACTCTGTCTCAAAAAAAAAAAAAAAATGCAGAGAGATCCCATTTACCCTTTACTCAATTTTCTCCAATGGTAACATCTTGCAAACCTATAGTACAATATTATAACCAGGATATTGACGGTGATACAATCACGATAGAGAACATTGTCATTATTACAAGCATTCCTCGCTTTGCCCTTCTGTAGCCACACCACTTCCCTCTCACACCCATCTCACTACCCCAGCCTTAACTCCAGGTAACCATTAATCTATTCTCCATCTCTATAATTTTGTCACTTCAAGGATGTTATACAAATAGAATTGTACAAGATTTTTTTTTCCACTCAGTATGATTCTCTGGAAATCCATCCAACTTATTGTGTGTATTAATAGTTAATTTCTTTTTTTGGTTGAGTAGTATTCCATGGTATGGATATAGCAGAATTTAACCACCTATTGAAGGACATCTGTCTTGTTTCCACTTTGAGGCTTTTACTAATAAAGCTGCTATGAACATTTGTGTATAAATTCTTACGAGAATGTAAGTTTTCATTTCTTTGGAATAAATGTCTAGGAATACAATTGCTGGGTTGTATGGTAGTTGCGTATATAGTTTTTAAAGAAACTTCCAAACAGTTCTGGAGTAGCTGTATCATTTTATAGTCCCATCTGCAATGTATGAGTGATCCAGTTTTTCTGTATCCTAGCCAGGATTTGGTGTTCTGACTGTTTTTTATTTAAGCTATTCTGATAGGTGTATAATGGCCTTAATTTGCATTTCCCTGAGGGCTGGTAATGTTAACTATATTTTCATGTATGCCATCTGCATATCCTCTTCAGTGAAATGTATTCTTAACATTTGCCCATTTTCTAATTGGATTTTTAAAAAATGTTTGTTCTTTCATAGAAAAATGTTTTTAATTTTGATGAAGTCCAATTTTTCCCTTGCATAGATCATGCTTTTGCTGTCAAGAACTCATTGCCTAAACCTGCATCCCAGATTTTTCTCCTATTTTTTTTCTAAAAGTCTTACAGTTTTACATTTTACATTTAAGTACATAATTCATTTTGGTAGTACAATGTGTGAATACAACGCATGAATCTTAGGTTGAGGTTCATTTCATTGCTGAGTGTCCTATTGCTCTGACGCGTGAAAGTAATATAACACATGAATCTTAGGTTGAGGTTCATTTCATTGCTGAGTGTCCAATTGCTCTAGCACCATTTGTTGAAAAGGCTATCATTCCTCTATTGAATTGCCTTTGCGCTTTCATCAAAAATTTAATTAGGCATACTTATATGGAATTGTTTCTGGGTTCTCTGTTCTCTCCCAGTGACATATATGTTTATGCCTCCACCAACACTACACGGTCTTGATTACTATTATTATTGATTTAATTATTATTGATTACTGTATTGATATAATAGTCTTGACATCGGGTAGATTCCTCATACTTTATTTATTTATTTATTTAGAGACAAGGTCTTGCTCTCTTGCCCAGGCAAGTGCAGTGGCATGATTCTGGCTCACTGCAGCTTCAGCCTCCCAGGCTCAAGCAATTCTCCTTCCTCAGCTTCCTAAGTAGCTGGGACTACAAGTGCATACCGCCATGCCTGGCTAATTAATTTTTTAATTTTTTGTAGAGGTGGAGTTTCACCATGTTGCACAGGTTAGTTGAACTCCTGAGCTCAAGCGATCCTTCCGCCTTGGCCTCCCAAAATGCTGGGATTATAGTCATGAGCTGCTGACTTGGCCCCATCTACATTTTAGAACAATTTTGCCTATATTTGGAAAAAAAATCTTTTATTAGGATTTGTTTTAAACATGTATATCAATTTAGGGATAACTGAAATCTTTATTTCTATTAGTTTATTCAGAGCTTTGATTTCCATTATCAGTGGTTTGTAGTTTTTGACGTACAAGTACTATGCATGTTTTAGATTCCCCCCAAGTATTTTTTTTTTTAGTAATTGTAAATGGTATTGTATTTCTAATTTATACCTATATATGTTCATTTCTAGTACATAGATACATTGATATTTGTATACTTGTATTCTGTAGCCTTGTTGAACTCAATTAATTAATTAATTAATGACAGGGTCTCTCTCTTTTGCCAAGACTGGAGTGCGGGGGCCAACATGGCTCACTGCAGCCATGACCTTCCGGCTCAAGCATTCCCTCTGCCTCCTGAGTAGCTGGGACTACAGGCATGTGCCACCATGCCTAGCTAATTTTTTTATTTTTGTAGAGATGAGGTCTTGCTGTTTTGCCTGGGCTAGTCTTAAACTCCTGGACTCAAGCAGTCCCCCTGCCTCAGCCTGCTAAAGTGCTGGGATTACAGACATGAGCCACTGAGTCTGGCCTATGAATTTATTAATTCCAATTTTTTTGTAGATCCCTTGGGATTTTCTACATAGACTATCATGTTGTCTAAAAATATAAACAGTTTTATTTCTTCCTTTTGATCTATATGCCTTTTATTTCTTTTCCTATTTTTATTACACTGGCTAGATCTTCCAGTAGTTTGTTGAGTAGGAGAACACACTGCCTTGCCTTGTTCCTGATCTTAAGGGAAAATATTGAGTCTTCCACCATTAAGTATGTCAGCTGTAGGTTTTTTGTAGAACCTTTTCATCAACTTAAGAAAGTGTCCTCTATTCCTATTTTTCTAAAAGTTTTTATCATGAAAGGATGTTGAGTTTTGTCAGATGCTTTTTCTGCATCATTTAATATGATCATGTGATTTTTCTTGATTAGCCTGTTAATATGGCGGATTACATCGATCAGTTTCCGAATAGTGAACCAGCCTTGAGTCCCTAGAATAAGCCCCACTTGGTCATAGTATATAATTCTTTTTATAAATTGCTGAATTCAATTTGCTAATATTTTGGTAAGGATTTTTGAGCCTATGTTTGTGAATGGTATTGATCTGTAGTTCTCTTTTTTTTCTCTGTCTTTGGTTTTGAGATCTGGGTAATACTAGCTTCATCAAGTGAATTGGGAAGTGTTCCTTCCTCTTCTGTGTTTTAGAAGAGTTTGTAAAGAATTGGTGTTGATTCTTCTTAAGACACTGAGTAGAATTCTCCAGTGAAACCATTGGGCCTTGATACATATTTGGGGGGAGTTTTTTAGTTATGAATTTAATTATAAATCATTATAAAGATCAAATTATATAGTTCATATTGGGTGAGTTTTGTGGTATTTAGTGTTCCTGAGGAAGTGGTCCATTTCATCTAAGTTGTCAAATTTATATATGTAGAATCGTTCATAGCATTCCCTTATCCATTTGGTATCTGCACAGTCTGTAGTGGTATCCTAATTCATTCTTGATATTAATAATATGTATAATACGTATCTTTTTTTTTGTCCATTTTGTCCATTTTTGTCCATTTTATTGGTCTCTTCAAATAATCAGCTTTTCATTTCTTGATTTTTCTCTATTTCTTTGTTTTCAATTTTATTGATTTCTGCTCTTTATTTTTTTTCTTCTGCTTGCTTTGAGTTTATTATGCTCTTCTTTTTCTAGGTTCTTGAGGTGGAGTTTAGGTTTTGATAGTTTTTCTCTTTCCTAATATAAGCATTTAGTGCTTAAATTTCCCTCTCAGTGGTATGTTAGCTGACGTGTCCCACAAATTTTGATATGCTATATTTTCTTTCAGTTCAACGTATATATATTTTAATTTCCCTTGAGATTTTGTCTTTAAAACAGGGATTATTTAGAAGTGTGTTGTTGAGTTCCCAACTATTGTGGAGATTTTCCTGTTACCGATCTTACTGATTTCTAGTTTGTATGATTTTGGTTCTTTTAAATTTTTTGAGATTTATGGCTCAGGATATGATCTGTATTGGTCTATGATATGCATAATGACTTGGAAAGAATGTGTATTCTGCTATTATTGGATGGAGTGTTCTATAAATGCTTATTAAATCCTGTTGGGTGATGGTATTGTTAAGTTCTTCTATATCCTAGTTGGTGTTCTGTTTAGTTGTTCTATCAATTCCTGACAGAGGAGTATTGAAGTCTTCAACTATAATTTTGGATTAGTCTGTCACTTCTTTCAGTTTTATCAGTTTTTTGCCTCACATATTTTACAGCTCTGTTGTTTGGTGCATATACATTTAATATTGCTATGTCTTCCTGGTAGATTACCCTTTTATTTTGATGTAATGTCGCTTTCTGTCTCTCTCTGGTAATTTTCCTTGCTCTGAAGTCTACTTTATCTGATTTTTTAAAACTTATTTTTGATTCTCTGATTTGGGGATTTTATAACTGAGGCTATTTTTCCCTTCTTTTTTAAAGGAATATATTATTCGAGTGCAAAGAGGAATTTCTGTGGAAAACAGCTGGCAGGTAAGCATTTTTTTTTTTTTTTTTGTCAATTAGGAAAATATCTAAATGTGTGACTAAAAGCCTGACTTGGGGCATCTACAAATCTGGAAAAATCAGAACATGCATAAATATAAATCATGTTTCTTTTAGCTATAAACCTTTAGCTTTAAGACAAGTATGATAAGAGTCTTTCCTGTCCCCACTTGTTTGGTTAAATTGTGTATGATTGATATTAGCATGGAGGGTATCTAGGAATTTGTTCCCCAGCTCAACCCAGAGCAAATAGTATATTCAAATTACTTGTTTTGTTTCTAGAAATTCACACCTTCTCCCCTGTAGCTTTGGTTTGAGTTCAGTCTACCACGTAGAAAGGTGAGATTGAGTCCTGGCTATTGTACAGTTTTGGCCACTACATTTTATGGATCTCAGGTCCACTCATGGGCAGCTTCTTGGGGAGGGTCATCTTGGGGCCCCAGGCTCTGCTTTCTTCAGTGGTGGCCTCAGAGAGAAAAGAATTCCTGGACGGATCGAGAAGTCCTTCCCATACGAGTTGACTTACAGAGGGTAGCTGAATTCTGCATAGGGGCCCTTTCTTTCCTGTTTTAGTAATTACGATTACCACCTCCACCTCCCTGCAACCCTTCTTCTCTCCCAAAAATCTTACCTTCTTCTTCACAGCCCAGCTCAAACCTTAACCTTCTACCTTAAGTAGCCTCTTACACACAGTTGTCCACACAACTTTGCCTGGTCTTTTCTTTGCCTGAAATTTCAAACTACTGTTTGTTTGAATAATTATTATATTTAACATCTATCGAGCATGTATTAAGTGTTCAGCACTGGTTGAAGCACATTCATTCACTTAACCTTTTAAAAATGTGCTATGTGGTAGTATTGTCCTCATTTTACATTTGTAAAGTAAGTAACTGTCTGAGGTCACAGTTAGATCATTGGCAGAATAGAGTTGGAATTTGCTCATTCTCTGTGGTTAACCACTCTATGATCTTTTGCTTCTTGGCTTTTATCAGGGATGACCTTATATTTAACTTTTTGATGTATATTTCGCAAACAGGGCCAACAATAGTGTCCTCCCAGAAAGATCAACCCTTGGTGCAGTTTTCTAGATCCATTGCATTAGAAACCCAGGAACTCAACAAAAATATAGACTCTTGGGCCCCATCCTAGACCTACTGATCAAATTTTCAATGGGTGGGGTTGTAAGGGCGGAGAGGTGTGACACCTTTCTTCACCCATGGTAAAGGTTGTGGCCAACACTTCTATAACAAAAGACAGATTAACAAGGGGGAAAACATAACAAATTTATTTAATAAAAGCTTTCTGGTTTTTTTTTTTTTTTTTTTGAGAAGGAGTCTCTCTCTGTCGCCCAGTGGCACGATCTCAGCTCACTGCACGCTCCATCTCCTGGGTTCACGCCATTCTCCTGCCTCAGCCTCCCGAGTAGCTGGGACTACAGGTGCCTGCCACCACGCCCAGCTAATTTTTTTGTATTTTTGGTAGAGACGGGGTTTCACCGTGTTAGCCAGGATGGTCTCGATCTCCTGACCTCGTGATCTGCCCGCCTCGGCCTCCCAAAGTGTTGGGATTACAGGCGTGAGCCACCACGCCCGGCCAATCAAAGTTTTATGTGACACAGGAACTTCCAGAAATGAAGACCCAAAGACCCAGGGAAAACTGTCCGTTTTTATGCTTGATTTGATGAAGACTGGATAGCCATGTAGAATGTGATAGAACAAACAATTTCTTTGTTTTTATTTTTATTTTTATTTTTATTTTTTTGAGATAGGGTTTTGTTCTCTTGCCCAGACTGGAGTGCAGTGGCATGATCACAGCTCACTGCAGCCTCGATCTCCTGGGCTCAAGCGATCCTCCCACTTCAGCCTCATGAGTAGCTGGAACTATAGGCAGGTGCCACTACGCCCAACTAATATTTTTGTATTTTTTTATAGAGACGGGGTTTGGCCATGTTGCCCAGGCTGGTCTTGAACTCCTGAGCTCAAGCAATGCTCCCGCCTTAGCCTCCCAAAGTGCTGGGATTGTAGGCATGAGCCATCATGCCTGGCCTTGTCTGTTCTTCTTTTTTTTATTTTTATTTTTATAGAAACGGGATCTTGCTATGTTGCCCAGACTGGTCTTTAACTCCTAGGCTCAAGGGATCCTCCTGCCTTGGCCTCCCAAAGTGCTGGGATTATAGGTATGAGCCATTGTGCCTGGCCCTGTCTATTCTTCTTGGTCTGTCCGTGTAGCCTTCTTTCCTCCTGGGTATGGGGCAGGATCCCTTTAGAATGAGAGTCCTCAGGAGAGAAGGGAGAGAGCAACCTTTCTAGGTTTTATGGCTTACTTTGTGAGAGGTAGAGGAGCTAGGGACAGGAGGGCAGAAGACTACAAAGAAGAACTCATTTGTGAGCCCTTCTTTTTTTTTTTTTTGAGACAGAGTCTCATTCTGTTGCCCAGGCTGGGATACAGTGGAGTGATCTCTGCTCACTGCAATCTCTGCCTCCCAGGCCCAAGCGATTCTCCTGCCTCAGCCTCCTGAGTAGCTGAGACTACAGGTGCTGACCACCATGCCCAGCTGATTTTTGTATTTTTAGTAGAGATATGTTTTGCCACGTTGGCCAGGCTGGTCTCGAACTCCTGGACTCAGGTGATCCACCTGCCTTAGCCTCCCAAAGTGCTGAGATTACAGTTGTAAGCCACTGTGCCCAGCCCATTTCTGAGACCTTCTAATCTCCTTTAGTTCAAAGTACTTAGCATGCCAAAGTACCATACTTTGGGATATCATTTTCTGAGCCCCAGTAGGGTTCTAGATGATATCCAGGTAATACTTTTCTGCACATTAACATTTGAAAATTACCAATAAAGATTAAAGTCAAACTATTTCAAACCAAAATTATTTTCTTGATCAGGGCCTGAAGAGCTAGTCGAATTTGACTATAGCCTAATCAATGGCATCAATACAACTGAGAAAGAATGTGTAGACAATGGAAGGTGGACTGTTTGTCAAGAGGGGGAACCCTGGGGAATCACCCTGGGCGAGGTGTGAGCAGCTCTGCCTGCAATGCAGTCCAGTCTCCAGGGTGGTGGGAGCTCACCTGGTGGAAGTTTGACCCAGGACAAAGGTGAAATGGCCTCAGAAGTATCCATTTCCTCTTGCTTTGATTCCATGCTCAGTACAACTTTTTTTTTTTTTTTAAAAAGTCATTCATCTTTCTAGGCGCCTGGTTAATAAGAAAGACATGTGAAGGACTGTTTGCCCTGAAAACAAATATTCTCACTTATCTCTTGGCATCTTGTGAATCTGACAGGCATTAACCAGTTTCCCATGGCCCAGCCAATGCCTGGCACTGCTAAGTCTGTTTTCTAGGCTTGTCAGGTTAAACAGTTAAGCACTAGGTATAAGCCCTACTACCCTTAGCACAAGTGCCTAAGCTCTAGAGTGCCAATATTACTAATACTAATGCATATTAAATAAAGAAATGAAAAGAGATAGTCTTTGCTGAATCAAAACCCTACTTCTTGTCTCTTACAGATTGTTAGAAGATACAGTGACTTTGATTTGCTTAACAACAGCTTACAGGTAAATGTTTTGACATTCTAATTACACACATTGATTACTTGGGGTGTCTAAAAAACTGGTGGAGTCCAGGCGCAGTGGCTCACGCCTATAATCCCAGCAGTTGGGGAGGCTGAGGCGGGTGGATCACCTGAGGTCAGGAGTTCAAGACCACCTGACCAACATGGAGAAACCCCGTCTCTACTAAAAATACAAAATTAGTACTTGGGGTGTCTAAAAAACTGGTGGAGTCCAGGCGCAGTGGCTCACGCCTATAATCCCAGCAGTTGGGGAGGCTGAGGCGGGTGGATCACCTGAGGTCAGGAGTTCAAGACCACCTGACCAACATGGAGAAACCCCGTCTCTACTAAAAATACAAAATTAGCCAGGCGTGGTGGTGCATGCCTGCAATCTCAGCTACTTGGGAGGCTGAGGCAGGAGAATCACTTGAACCTGAGAGGCAGAGGTTGTGGTGAGCCGAGATCACGCCATTGCACTCCAGCCTGGGCAGTAAGAGTGAAACTCCATCTCAAAAAAAAAGCTGGTTGGAAATGGCAATATCAGAAACAAGAAATTAGCACATTTCCCTGTCAAAGAAAATAAATTCATACTTTACTCAGATGATGTGTGGCTCTAAAAATAAACTTTTGGGAATCAACATGTGATTTATAATTAATAGTCACCTTGCAACCAAGTACTGTTGTGCCAGACTGTATCCTTACCACAGTCATAGGAGGCTGATGTAATATCTTCTTTTAAAAGATGAGGAATGATTACGTGGATTGCTAGCGTTATTCACTTAGGTGGAGCTGGGACTCTGACTCTCTTCATTGAACTAGGCTACATAGTCAGCTCTGCAGATCAACATGCAGCAGTAACTGGGAGACTCAACCTTTTCCTGTTTAACTTTTTCTCCTAAATACGTAGTTAGAAATCTCTTTGTTTTAAATGTTCCTAACTTGAGGGCCATAATGGGAAGAAGCATGAGCTGCAAGGTCTTCATCTAGAGACACACCCAGTGTTGTAATGGTTGAAGGGTCCAAGAGGGGCTTTAGCACCTTAGGAAGTCCTGCCAGTAGCAGCTGTGTCTTCATCTGGCAGGCTGGACTTCAAGTGCCTTGGATTACTGAAGACTATTGTGCTCTTGTGTGTCATACCTCAGGTTTGATTGGTAACATAAAATGCTTTAACCCTGAGGAAGAGTGCTTGGCTTATGATGTAAAGGACTCAGCCTGGAGGGAAAGGACTGCTCCCGTCATTGGTGAGCTAGCCATCATCGCTTATTCTGAATGACCTCAGATCTTGCCCACAAAGGTCAGGAGGACTGTGCACTAGGAGGAAGCATAATACTTCTTTTCCTTCAGAAGGCCATGTTTTGTTGGTCGGACTTCAGAAAATAAGCATTTGGGCCGGATGTGGCGGCTCACTCCTGTAATCCCAGCACTTTGGGAGGCTAAGGCGGGTGGATCACCTGAGGTCAGGAGTTTGAGACCAGCCTGGCCAACATGGTGAAACCCCATCTCTACTAAAAATACAAAAATTAGCTGGGTGCGGTGATGGGTGCCTGTAATCCCAGCTACTCAGGGAGCTGAGGCAGGAGAACTGCTTGAACCCGGAAAGGGGAGGTTGCAGTGAGCCGAGATTGCGCCATGTTGCGCTGCATCCTGGGCGATAGAGCAAGACTCTGTCTCAAAAAAACAAACAAAAAAGGAAATAAGCATTTGTAAAGCCCAAACTTTAACATTATTTATAATGCTGCTGAAAGCGTGAATGCCTTATTTTCCTTTTGAAGGAAGTGGCCTGAGTATCTGCAGACGTTTATGTAATTGCCATACTTGTCATGCATTTGACACATATTGTCTTTTTGTGTTTTAATTTTAGTATGACCCATTTGAGTCTTCAGATAGAATATTGGCAGAGATCAAATTTTCATTGATGGGTTTAATTGGTTTTATTTATGGATTTTAATAGGATCTTCTTTGCACTCAGACAAGAGCTGGGCCTATGATGACATTGTAGATAAGACATCAATGTTCAGTTTATTCCAGCAGTGGATTTTCTCCTCAAACTCTCCTATCCCCAGTGCAGCGGCCCATGTGACATTTCCGCAGTGGTGTAAGCATTTGGGAATTAACAGTGGGCCTACGAACTGTTTCTGCCTTTATGCTCAAGCGAACCTTTGCTTGTGCATAAAGGGGGAGTGATCTTTGTACAATGTCATTCAGCCAGGCTAAGTAAGAATTATGGGAGAAATATTTTTGAAATTGAAATTGCCTAGACTTAGCCTCTAAGAACAGAGGGTAGGGAGGAGAGTTTTATCTCTCGTTTACTCATACTTTGGGGTGATAAAGTTTCTCCATGACTCTTCACTTAATGGCCTTTTTAATATAGTGAATTTTATTTTTGCTTCAGTGTAATTTTACCTTTCAAAATGGGTACTTTCAATGTGCATCTTATTTCAAATGCAAATATCCCCATGTATTGATGTTGGCTTGTGTTGGGCAGAATATGGCCAGACATCATTTCAGTGGGAGGTTTTTCTGGATTCAAATAAACAAACAGAAGAAAGCACACACAGCTTTTTGGCAATGAAGTAATTTAAAACAATATCCAAAAACAGACCAAAAAGACTCTAAAACCTCAGAATAAAACTGTGACCATGATTTTCAGTGTCCAATTACCCTTTTGACAGATAAATGAGTTCCTGCTAAAGAAAAAGAAATATAATACACATATGCAGAGTTGTCTGAGTCCAATAGGAACATGTCTAAGTGAAAAAAAGCATAATGCAAAATTATACATGCCATATAATATAATTACATGAAATGTTTGGAAAATAGGATTGCAAGTAAATATGCCAAAACGTTAATGGTGATCCCCAGGTGGCGGAATTATAGGTTATGTTGTTTTCTGTTTATTTTTGTTTGTTTGTTTTCTTTAATGTTCTGTACTTTCCAAGTTCTCCACAAACAAGCACATGTAGGCTACGTAAGCGGAAAAACAGAAAAAAAAGCTGCATTTTCTTTTCTTTTCTTTTTTTTTTTTTGAGACAGAGTCTCACTGTGTCGCCCAGTCTGGAGTGCAGTGTCTCCACCTCCTGGGTTCACCTCATTCTCCTGCCTCAGCCTTCCAAGTAGCTGGGACAACAGGCGCCCACCACCGTGCCTGGCTAATTTTTTGTATTTTTAGTAGAGACGGAGTTTCACAGTGTTAGCCAGGATGGTCTCGATCTCCTGGCCTCGTGATCTGCCCGCCTTGGCCTCCCAAAGTGCTGGGATTACAGGTGTGAGTCACCGCGCCCGGCAAAAGCTGCATTTTCTAAACTTTCTTTTTTTTTTTTGAGACAGAGTCTCGCCTTGTCACCCAAACCCGAGGGCAATGGTGTGATCTTGGCTCACTGCAATCTCTGCCTCTTGGGTTCAAGTGATTTCTCCTGCCATAGACTCCCAAGTAGCTGAGATTACAGGCATGTGCCACCATGCCCAGCTAATTTTTGTATTTTTAGTAGAGACGGGGTTTCACTATGTTGGCCAGGCTGACAGACTTTTTATAGTGAGCATATTTTGTGGAAACAATGAAGAAAAATCACCACCTTATTTTAAATGCAACATCAAATTAGCAGCCATCTAGGGAGACAGCATACAACCAAGAGAAAGAAGCAGGCTGTTGAAATGTTGGGAACTGGGCAGAGAGAAAGAACTCAGTCTCTGTTCCTTAGACTTGAGAAGGAACCCAGGCCCCTTACAGCGTTGAGACCTTGAGTCCATCATTTCTTCTGTTGGGTTTCACTTTCGCCGCTGAAATAAAGGGGTTGAACTAGATGACTTCTGAGGTCTCTTATAGCACAAATGTTTTGTAATTAGAATTTTACTGCCCACTGTTGACCCTGGAGAGACTTTACTGTACTCCAGGGGATAGCAGGGTGTTGAGACAAATTGAAGGTCTGTTGAAAGCTTAGAACTCCCTAGGATACTGACTGGAATATGGTTGAAGGCAATTTGCAGATTATTAAGATCTGATGTTGGAAGTAAGGAGCAATGAACAGATTGAGGTTGAAAGTTTTTTGCTGGGCGCGGTGGCTCACGGCTGTAATCCCAGCACTTTGGGAGGCCGAGGCGGGTGGATCACGAGGTCAGGAGATCGAGACCATCCTGGCTAACACGGTGAAACCTCATCTCTACTAAAAATACAAAAAATTATTAGGATGTGGTGGCGGGCGCCTGTAGTCCCAGCTACTTGGGAGGCTGAGGCAGGAGAATGGTGTGAACCCGGGAGGCGGAGCTTGCAGTGAACTGAGATTGCACACTGCACTCCAGCCTGGGCGACAGAGTGAGACTCTATCTCAAAAAAAAAAAAAAAAAAAATTAAGTTTTTCCTCCAGATAAAAGCTAATTTTCTTGAAACTGTAATATAGTTTGTCATATAATTTTGGACTCTAAATCCCAATTTGGGAATCATTTCCCGCTTTCCATTTTCTTTCTTTCTTCTTCTTCTTCTTTTTTTTTTTTTTAAGACAGTGTCACTCTGTTGCCCAGGCTGGAATGCAGTGAGCTGAGATGATGATCACTGCAACCTCCACCTCCCGGGTTCAAGTGATTCTCCTGCCTCAGCCTCCCAAATTGCTGGAATTACAGGCACCCACCATTGTGCCTGGCTAATTTTTTTTGTATCTTCAGTAGAGATGAGGGTTTCATCATGTTAGCCAGATTGGTCTCGAACTCCTGACCTCAGGTGATCCACCCACCTCGGCCTCCCAAAATGCTGGGACTATAGTTGTGAGCCACGGCGCCTGGCCTCCCCTTTCCATTTTCACTCGCAGTTGTGCATGGAACTCGGGACTCCTCTACTGGCTGTCTTGTTCTCTTTTCCTTCTGTAAGGAACTCAAGAAGGGAATCCATAGGGCATGTTAAAGAGGAAGGTAGTGAAAGTGAGATGATGAGGCATCCTGGCTTAAAGTCATCAGTGTGGAGGTGTCTAGGAAATCAGTGGCTTAGAGACTTTGTTATTCCGTGTGTAGTATTTT